CGGACACATGCAAACGACGCAGACACACATATACACACAGTTACACGTACACACGGACACAATTTTAGCCGCGCGCGAAACGATTGACGAACTCGAAGACACACGGTTTCGAGCGCGACCGCGCGCCGCTCCTCGTTGACCATTTTCACATTGCGGGATCTAAATAAGTATGAGGTTCCTCACCGACCATTAGAGAACTTATACACGCTGGATATACTGTTTTAATAGAGAGAATGCGAGAGAGAGAGAGTGAGAGAGAAAGAGAGAGAGAGAGAAAGAGAGGAAGAGAGAATGCATGCGTGAGAATGTTCAGAGGATTTCGAATCAATCGTGCTCCGAGATTTTACTCGACACCCCCATCCCCTTTGACCCAGAAATCGCTGATCATCGCTGTTTCCTGCATCACACTGGATTCGAACTCGGGTGGAGTCTTTTTTCCCTTTTTTTTCTTTTTTTTCTTCTTTATCCCGAGCTGATTCGCGATTCGGTACTATGTAGCTTCGTTATTTTATATGTAATGTGTATATATATATACCTGCGCATTATATACTCTGGATGTGTATATATACCTGCGCATACATACGCTGGTATATGTATCTGTATATGTATATATATACACGGCTTCGCGTGGATCTATTTATGTTTGAACTGCGTACGGGTTTTAGTTCGCTGACTGCCGACTCGGTGGCTCGGGAGAGCGAGAGAAAGAGCTAGGATTCTCTCTTCTGAGGGGTCTCTTTATCGATGCTAGATGGAACAGCGGAACAAGGTGCCAGTTTAGAGTCTAGCGTTGATAGGGGAGCCGAGAGTCTTTGTTGTCCCTGATTCCAACGCCCCCCCAAACCCCCGCCCGAAAGAAAAACCTCTTTGCTTCTTCTGGCGAGAAAAGATAGAGAGAAAGACGACGAAGAAACGAGAAATATTATGGAGGAGAGAGCTACCTAACCACCACCCCCTTAACACAATGTACACAATAAAACGCTGTAGTGTTCAGGTTGCGACGACGACGACGATGACTCGTGCTCGCGCAAAGGACGATTATTAATAACCTGCGACACAGGGATTATCTTCCACGGAACCGGTGGAAACACTTTGGGATAACGAGAAATAAAAAAGACATAGGCGATCGGATGATGGTATAATAATTGATATATTGTTCAGCCTCGAGGACACTCGTAAACGATATTTGATCAGAATCGCGGACCGTGAATTGAATTTTATATACGACGACGAAGTCGACACACACACAGTATACACGTTCTACGACACACGCATACGCTCTGTACGCGGCACATGGAAACGTACGAATCGTTCGTTCGCCGTAGCGATCGACCCCGCGACACAAGACCTAGACAAATTTCATGATGTTACATTGCGCGTAAAGAACTGATTAACCGTTTCGACGGAGACATTCGAAAAGTCTGGTCGATCGCTTCGACTCGCGAGCGGTTCGCGCGCACACACGTATTGGGGCAGACACACGTACGTCTTTCGAAGACGCATTTCGACGTAATTCGAGGAACATTTGCAGTATACATCACACGTGTATACACACACGTACACAGACACATACACACACACACGATATATTAGCGGGTCCCTCGGCAATATTTTGTCGGGCCGCGGGGACGTTTTTATAATGAAAAAGGTTTTAGATCTCCGATTTAAAAACGCCAAAAAAAATGAATATAAGAGAGAGAGAGCGAGAGAGAAAGAGAGAAAGAGAGAAAGAGAGAAAGAGAGAGAGAGCGAGAGAGGGAGTGGATACTGTAACGAGTAATGAAGTAAACTAATGAAGTAACTTAACGTAAAGATTAAATGAAAGATACATGGGAGATGAAATACGAGAGCAAGCGAACGTTGTGTTTTTCGAAGCGAACCAAATGAAACTTAATAAGATTTAAATAGAGACTCGTGACTCGGCCATACGTAACGTAAGATAATAAGACGAAAGGGCTACGTCACCCGATCCCCGACTCATCCCCTTTCGACAGAGGAGAATTATAAGCAAACAAAAGTAAAACGGAAAACCCTCTTCTGAGATGCGTGAGAAATTGATACGATCCGCCACCATATTTGTCCATTCGACGAATCGCGGGATAGAAAGAGCACGCGAGAGAGAAAGATAAAGAATTGAGAGAGTGAGAGAGAGAAAACGAGAGAGAGAGAGAGAGTGAGAGAAAGAGAGAAAGAGAGAAAACGTGACCTAACCGCGAGACGTAAACTCTTAGATAAGCGTGCGAATGCGTTGAACGAGAGAATGACGGAGAGAATGCGAGCGAAAGTTTTTATATTCGAGGCAATATTTGTTACAATACAACTAAATAGGCGATAAGTTGTATACTTGCATTAAAGGGCTCAGTACACAAAAGGATCCTTTGTCGGTCGCTGGAACAAGCGCGAACGGCTAAAATGAATGGGAATCGAATGGGTCGGAGAGAAAGGTGCGCATGCCGGTGAACGGGTGAAAATGATTTTTTCGGATCACGCGTACAAGGTGGAGGGATAAAACGGAACGCAATTTCCATCGGCGCAGAGGGGACGTGGATTGTTTCTGTGCCGATCGAATCGTTTCTGCGCGTTGCTGCTGACGGAGTATCGATTTAAACGTAGATGATAGTATTTGTCGGCGCGAGACGAAACAATGGTACTAAGCTTAAGGAATTAAGGAACAAAAAGTAAAATAATTCAAACGAGCGCCGCGCGTCGTTTGCGAATAATTAACGAGGCGGAAGAAGGGTATTTAACGCAGTGAATAGAAAAAGAACAAACGGGCGCGTCCACGGAGCCGACGCGCCCGACGATCCGCTCGGTCGTCCGTTCCCGATCAGTTACGCGAGTTTCCGTTCCGTTCCCGTTCCGCGGTCTCCCGGATCGTAGTTTCTTCTATTTTCCCATCCGGGCCGAACCGTTAACGGTCCCCCCCGCCCCCCGGCAACCCGATTGTTTTTCGCACATCACATTCTTATATCGTTTATCGTTCGATCCTCGATATTATTTACCACGGTGACGTTTATCTATTGTATCGAATCGTTTGTCGTATTATGTTACATTGTTTTCGAATTTTTACCGACGGTTAGTAACTTAGACTATCGATTGTCTGTAATTATATACATAACTATACATATATACATATAAATATACATACGATTGTAAACAGTTATAGGTTTCACGGTAGTGTGTA